TTTACTTTTCTACGTACTTTTTTTTTTCAAATGAAATTAATGTAAAAACTGAGCCTAGATTGTTCCAGACTTCCAGTGCTTTCTCAAGAAAATAGGACAATTTTATTTATTTATTAATTTTCTTTTGACTTCTCCTTCGAAACAGACTGTTCGAGTGTTCGGTTTTGTTTTTATATGGAGATTCTACGTTCTTGACCCAATCGGTCGAAATTTTAACCGCTAGATCAATTAATTACGACTGTTACATGATAATATAACGGTTATAAATTTCAATAAAATGATTTGATAATGAGATTATAACATTTCTCGTTTATATAAACTGGTCACATACCTCTTATTACTTTTTATTAAAGTTTAGAAAATATGGCACGCAAATCGGCATGGAAGGATAAAATGGTTACATGGGTTAGAAGTTTTTTTCTTAGTATTTTTTTCTTTAATTTTTAATTTAAAGTTGACCGAGGCAAATATGAAAAATAGTATAAAGAAAAAACTAAATTTGGGGTGATTTAAAAAATATATATCTTCAAGTTTGTTATATAATTTTCAGTTTTTCAAATTTCACAAGTCAAATCATCAGCCTGGTAAGTTCGCCGGAAACCAGAGCTCGAACATGGCACGGTGGCAGAGCCCCAAACACGAACATAGACTATACATTAATTAACTTATGAAGGCACATGAAATAATATACAAATCCAAAATAATTTTCAGAATTCAAATTAATAATTTTACAACAGGTAAAGGTAATTAAAGATGTGCTTGCATTATTTATTATTATTATTCAACACCTAATTTAATTACACCTTTTACCCACTACAGCAAATGAGTAAAGAGAACAACGGCCCTTCTTCTCAACACTAAAAAGATAAAACAAAGCAAGAAAATCAGAGTACAGGCAATCAAATGACTATAAATACACCATTACTTGTTACTAACCAAAAGAGAGAAAAAAAAAAAATGCTAAAATATCAATCTACATTTCTAACAAAGGGAGCTCGCACGTCTGGCCATCGTTCTGTATATGGTAAAAAAGGGAGCTTACCTGTCAAGACATGAAAAGAAACCTAAAACCTTCGACCACCTTTTGCCAAGACATATTCCGCTCAGCCAAAACAAGTCCACCATTTTGTCTGCACAAAAATATTCCGGCGCAATTTTCAGTTCAGATGATGAAGTTGATGAATGCCGATAGAGTAGACGTCATCATTCTTGATCAAAAATTTGTGGGTAATATACTAATATAGTTAGTTGTATGATGATCAATCTCATAGTTCTTCAGAGTCCAAGTCCGGTTTTGAAGGATATTCAAGACCCTGAAGAGCGGGAATCCGGCGTATGTCTTCTTCTGTGTAGGCCGGTAAGAACCAATACTTTCTGTCCATCCCAAAGACCTGTACAAGATAAGAGTGAAGTTATTGTCAATGCTCGAGATCGAGTCGATTTTCATCATCTAAAGATGTGGGAGTATTATAACACAGGGCTATTCAAGCCAATTGCCAAGTGCTCGAATCCACAGAAAGAAGGATCTAGCTTGACTCATTTTTGGCTCTAGTTGCTTCAGCATGAATTGCAGTGACGAGCAAAAGAAATTTGAAATATAATTTCAAGTTTAGCAGTCAACTGATTTAGTTATCGATACACGTACTAGGGGAATTTTTTGTTGTCATAACAACTCTCTCATGAAAACATGTAATTCCACTATTATGCTTCTTTCTGCTCCAATTATTCAAGGGGTTAAAAAAAGTTTACGGTAAATTTCCCCCCAACAATTATTTTACGATTGTCTTCGTTCTCTCATGTTTATAAAGGCTGAACAAACAGTCGGCTAATATACCAGTTTATTATGTAAGAGGTGATCATTTACAGCTAGAGCTGTCTTTTAGACAACACGGTGGACACCAAGAACACCAAGCAAGCAAATAAACATATTGGTAAATAAACCTTTTTAAGGAGGTATATAACTGCAACAATTGTAGACACACACACACACACACACACACACAAAAAAAAAAATAGGAATTCAAAATCAAGAGTTTCCCTGACCTGCTCAAAGTTTCTCTTTCGTCCAAGATCATAACGCCATTTTGGAGTAGTCTTCTTCTCATAAGCCTACAAACAAAGCCAATAAAATTTCGTCCTTCTTCTTAACTGCTTGGCTTTTACATATCAAATAAAACAAAGACGAAAACATAATTGAACAATTAATACTGAATGCAGAACAGGGATTAAACTAAAATACAGGCATTCAACTATAACTTATGTAAAAAATTGGCATATTGTCAATATCAACTCTTAAGAACAATAGAACGCATAATACCTCAATGGTCGTGGTATTGGCAGCCACCAATGATATGTGCATAATCAGGAATCCCATTACACTCAAAGCAAATGCCAAATTCAATACTGCAAAAAATGTTTGATCTTCATCAGCTGAGCATAGAGAATAACCCAGGAAGGTTAAAGCAAAAGAACAGGTTACTGTACCAAAAGCAAGAAAAGTTGTTGCTAGACTTGCTGGAGTTCCAGGGATCTCGCCATCACTAAAGAAAGCAATGAACTGAGGTAGTAACGATAAAGTAACGAGACTGGTTTCAAGGAATGTGTAAAACTGCATGAAAAAGAACAAAGGGAACAGAAATGGATGTTATATTCATAGTCTTTATCAATTATGTTAACAAACACAAAGCCATTAGAAAAAGTTCCAGAAAGCGCAGACTAAATTCATAGTTTAACAAACACAAAGCCATTAGAAAAAGTTCCAGAAAGCGCAGACTAAATTCATAGTTTATTCAATAGTGGGATATATCTTGAGATCCAAATGATAATGCTAATCATACATAAGATACAAGATCCAGCAGAAAAATAATCGCAAAATAAGAAAAGGTTTAGAATCACTCCATGCTAATTTAATAAGCACATCATCACAAGGACCAGCTAATACCAGCCAATATAACTTGTTATAATGACTCATACCAGGAAGAGAAGGAAATACTTGTAGTTCAATGCCCCAACACAATTGACAACCCAAACACAATGATGATCCATCTTCAGTATGCACCTTCCACCTAAGAATTTATAATAATAAAAAGATTTACTATATACTCATGGTAGAAGGATAAAGGTAGGGGGGAAAATCTCAATGGCTAAGTGAGAAGCTACTCACAAACAGAGCAGTGATGGCACCGTGGTGGCTTCAACTGGTTGCATTTCCTACAATAACGGACTCTACTGTTCTCTGAGTCGGTTGGAAATTCTGTAGAAGTCAATGGATCACTATCTCCTCTTTCTTCATCTGCTGCCGGTCGCCAGTTTGGAGGCACACTGCCTGGATCAGTAAATACGACGGAAAAATAGCTCCATAATAGCATCACCAACTGCAAAGCAGTAAACTTTATTAACTTTTCAGTTGCATTTATAATAAATCATGGGCGTCATCAGTTCCTAGTAGAAGAAATGAAAAAAAATTCACAATCTAATGAAATGGGAGCTCTTTAATTATAATTTGACGAACGATTTGTTCGAGAGAACAATACATTGATTTATAGAACAAACAGCTGATGCCAAAATGATATCTATTGAAGTCCCTGATGAAAAAGATGTTACAAAATCTAAAGCACGACCTTGAAAGCGTTTCATACCATTACAATTTACAACAGCCGATTGCTGAGAATCATCATAATCCATAAGAGCTTAAAATGGACATTGATAAAATTAATGTTTTTCCATATTATAAGATGATTACTTAAAATAAATTGTTCTTCAAAACTGGAGTGACCCTACACCACCTACAAACAAGGATACGAGATTCCAACATTTCACATAATAGCTCAATCTGAAAACTAAACTGAGAATCTAAGAAATTTTAGCACACTAAACTAATGACTCAATAAACATGTACAGAAACATCTCGTATTTGACGACAACAATGGCAAAGAAATCCACAAATTGATAAAGAAAAAAGAAAGAAAGGAAAACGAGATCCCCATTCTAGACGCTAATCAGAGCCGACGTACCAGACCGTGAAACAAGATCAAAACGACGAATGCGACGAGCGAATCGAGGCCGCCGGCGGCAAGCCCCGGTCCGTAATTCGTAATCACCACGGCGTAGTAACTGACGCCGACGACGCCGAGGACCAACAGTATCATGATGGACCCAAGGCCCCTCAGGGCAGTGCAAAACTTGAACACGTTCCACGCCATGACCGCCGCACCAGATCTATGCATTATACTATATATAATCCGATTGTTGCCTAATTTTCACGAAAATTGCGAATCGAGAATTTTTCAGCTCCTCAACACAATGTCTTTACAGGTAGTTGGCTGGGGTTTATGGATTCCTCGTCTGGAGTTTGAGTACAGCTTCCATTGAAATCCATGACTGAAATAGCAGGAAGAGAAAATAAAGGGTCAAATTTTAATATTTCTTTCTATGTAAAACATTGAGTTGAGCTGAGTGGCCGAGTTCAATTTGTTAATTGACCGGTTTCATTTTTTTATTTTTTTTTGGTACAAGAAATGAGGCTACATAAAACCTAAACTACTAAACTAGAACCGACCGTACTGAGAATACGACACTCCAACTCGATCATGATGCGACCATATGCTTGCTCTCGTCGAGGGCTGGGCCAACCTATGAAAACCTCCCAGGCCCTTAGACGCTAACGACGTCAGATAGTCGGCAACAAAATTTGATTCGCGATAGCCATAGGCAATAGACACCTTCTATTAACGACCCAAAAGATCCTTGATCGCCCATAAAATTCCCACGTGCGGCCCGGCATCAAGATCCTGTTGTACCATCTCAACTATGCTTGTGTTGTCGACTTCAGCTTGAACAATTTGTAGTGTGATGAATTACTTGGAAATTTCCTTGAATAAATTGTGGGAAATATCAAATAGTTCTAGTTGTTGAAACATAATTGATATTATTTTTGAGTGCGAAATATCAATAAGCTTTATATATATATATATATGCTTCTACTTTACATACCAAAAATTGGATACTTTATTTTAATTATTATTTTTATAATTATTATTGTTTCTTTGTATAATTATGGGACAATCGATGTTACTAAATACAACACAATTAACTAAAGATTAGATTATATTTTTACTTAAAAAGAGAAAGTGAATAACTTCAAGTGGTGATATTAAATATCAACTAAAAAACAAATTCAATTCTATAGTTAAACGCATTGCATGCATTCAATATTGAATCGTACACACGTATTGATGCAGAATAATAATAATAATTATTATTATTATTATTTTAGAGAATAAGTTAGGATTTAGTTTAATAGTTTTATTTAAAGGACTCTTGTACTTTGTTATTAGAGCAGTTGATTATTAAAATAAAAGAAGATTAGATATTGTGAGTTTTGCGTGTTTTACGAGAGAATATCTCGTTTACTCGTTTATCATTTTCACTCCTATTTGTTTACTCATTTATCCTCTCCTATCCCACTCATACGGTTCTTTACATGGCATATATATTCGCACGGTTCTTTATTGATTGAACGATTAAAAAAATAAAATTGCACACATGAATTCTACCCACTTCACACCGTGCAAATTTAATAAAAATTGGACAAAAATCAGTTTTTATATCCATGAAATTTTGTAGGGAAATTTACATAAATAATCAACTCTTAAAAATCATTTACATAAAAACTTTGGTTTGGGAGAATTCCAAAATTGTCTCAATTCATATCAGACATTTTTTTATTAAAAAAGGTAACCAATTAAAAACAAAAAAAGGTAACCAATTAAAAACAACAACTGCTTTCCAGTAACTATTTTTCTCTCTCTTTTTATTTTTTATTCTCTTTTTGTTTTCTTACTCTTGTCACGTTCTCTCTTCCTATGTTCTTCTTCTTCTTCTTCTTCTTCTTCTTCTTCTTCTTCTTCTTCTTCTTCTTCTTCTTCTTCTTCTTCTTCTTCTTCTTCTCAGACATTTTTTTATTAAAAAAGGTAACCAATTAAAAACTAAAAAAGGTAACCAATTAAAAACAACAACTGCTTTCCAGTAACTATTTTTCTCTCTCTTTTTATTTTTTATTCTCTTTTTGTTTTCTTACTCTTGTCACGTTCTCTCTTCTTCTTCTTCTTCTTCTTCTTCTTCTTCTTCTTCTTCTTCTTCTT